CGTTCCTGCGCTTAGGAAGCGGCGGTTTCCATGCCAGTTTTAGGCAGCTCCTGGCTCAGCTTGCATTTTTTCTTCTTTCGCTTCTGGTCCTGTATGGCACGCGGAAATCCAGGTCTAGATCTTGGGTTCATCTCTGAGTCAGAGCAAGAAGTGTAAAATGGAGGCACCACAGCAAGTGAGCAGCACTGGCGCTGTCAGCTGGTCGGACAAAGCGTGGGGGCAGTTCCAGCTCCAGCCATTAGTCCGTTATCTTACTGGCAGTGTAAGGGCTCTGGTTCCCGTCACTGAGTACGGGCTAGGGCAGGACTGAGGCAGCGGGGACTCGGACCGTGCTGGTGTACAGAACTGCTTGGCCCAGAGGTCTGTGTGTCACGTCACCTCTTCCTCCGGCACGTCACCATGGGCATTGCACGGCTCGTCGCGTGGTGGCTGTCCCTTGCCGGCCGTGGCTGGGAACCCAGCAAGCTGCTGGGGCTGGTGGTGCCTCATTTAGCACCTGGGCTCCCTGGTCTTTAAAATAGCCCTGCTTTGTCAAGGTACTTGTTGAAGCCATCCCACCTCCCTCTCTATTCAGGAGTAAGAATACATGCAGCTTGACACCTGGTGCAGCACCTTCGTCTGGAACTTACATCTCCATTACGCAGGTTCTAGTTTGAAAATGGAGCATGTGGACGTGAAAAGCTTGCCTTTGGGCAGGGGCGAATCTCGCTGAGGAGGAGAAGCCTTGGGAAGGTCCAGCATGGTGCACGTCCCTGGCTCTTCCCTCCGGTCGCTGCCGCTCCAGCCAGCCCGTCCCTCAGCTCTGCTGCCTGCCCGGCTCGGCTGTGCGTGGGTTATCGGGGGCTTGTGCTGTGAACGGCTCTGGAGGCGCTGGGAGGCATCCAGTGCCTTGCAGCCTGCCAGGGGAGCCTCTTCTTCTGCCGAGCTGTCAGGGTGTGGGGTTTTGTTTTTTATCATTGTGTGAAAACACATGTTTTTAAGGACCGATTCAACCTAGATATCTGCTTTTTATATGCGCATTGTTGTTGGCAGGGGTTTCATTACAGGATTGCAGGATTAGTTCGCAGTAATTTGTGTTTTTCTGTGTTACCCCGACTTTATTTCCAGCTCTCTCCTGTTTTAGCGAGGATACTTTCTGCCGCAGTGGGTGACTGGAGGTGACCTTCCCTGCCAGTGGGACGTCGTAACGGGGCTGCGGGAGGCGACTGCGTGCTGCTTCCTCGAGCGGCCGTGCTGAGAATCTGCCTCTGTCCCAGAAATTGCCTCTGTGCAGCTCGGTGTGCGGCAGGCTGTTTGGAGGAGTTGCTAATAAGATCTGGAAAGCTTCTTCCAGCTGTAGGCTTGTCTCTCACAGGGTTGCCAGGCCGTGTTTCAGATCTGGGAGATGGTGCCTGCGATCTCTGCCCCCAGCCAGCTCGTGAGCAGGGTTTGCCCCACTCACAAGCCTGTTTAGAGATGGCAGACCTCGACGTCCCGCCCTGGAGCGAGCGGCTGGAGCTGCTTACAGGCTGGTGCTTACATTTGGTTGTGGTGGAGGGTGGTGTTCGGCTCCAGGGAGAGCGAGTACAGGCTGGGGATCTTGTTTCCCATCCCTTCTCCAAAAAAGTGAAGCTGATGTTGGCTTCAGTGAGCTCGTAGGTGGAGGCAGCGGCTCAGCAGCTGTTGAACTGGAGCCTGAACACTTCACATTTGTTGCCAGATCTGGTAAACGGGACATTCTCGCTCTCTGGTGTCCGGTTTGGCAGCATGCCTGTAGATGCATGGGGAAAAGTTCATGCTGCTCTCTGGTGTCCAGTTTGGCAGCATGTCTGTAGATGCATGGGGAAAAGTTCATGCTGCTACTCGTTCTAACCTCTTGATCTCAAGACACCTGGAGATGCTGGATATTAATTCTCCATCTTTACAGATGCTGAAGATTGAGGCTGGATTCGTGCAGGTGGCTTTGCAAATTTGCCACAGGATCCCGGGCTTTCTGACCAGGCTGCTTGCTGGACTGGTGATAAAGATACCAGCCTCTCTGAGAGAAAACATGGGGATGTGTTTAGTACGTACAGCCTGTGAGCTGGTGGGAAAGTTCAGCAAAGCAAAGAATTCTCTGTGTGAAAGTTCTAATTCTAAAGGGTTTAGGGTTTTTTCCTTCAAAGGTACCTCTGTGGTTGCGGCAAAAAGCAGCACGCAGCAAGAACTGTCTCCTCTCTGCTTTGTTTTGGGTGACCTGGCACAGCAGCATCTCCAGAACTTGAGATAAAAAGCATACGATTTCTGGTCTGTATTTGCATAATGGTAAATGAGTCAGAGGAGAAAGGAGGCTTTATGGAACAAGATTAGGCTAATAGTGGGATTAATAAACGGTATAATAAGTAATGTCCAGCGCTCTTCTTTATTCCTGTTGCCCAAACTGCACAAAGCCGCAGATGGCCGTCGTGTCACCTGCAGTGGCACACGCTGGGATGAAAGAGAGGGAAACGTAATAGAACTCCTAAGACAAAAATCCCTTGGGTATATTCGTATTGCCAAGAGAGATGAATGGTACTAATTAGACTAATTGTTGGGCAAGACTCTCTTTTTTTTTTTTTTAATATTGTCTGTAGGTTTTGCATGAACAAGTAATTACTGTTCACGGACCTGTCTGAAGATGCCTAAAGACATTAAAACCCTTTCAGGAGAACGGTGTACGCGGGTGTGTTGGTATTGAAGAAGTTGAACACTCCTGTACCAGAAGTTTTA